TCTGTGCCACTGGACGCAAGACCAGGCTGCCCTGGTGTGGTCTGTGCGTGCCTCCGTTTGTGTCCGGCTGAGCCAGCCTTGGGCTCTGCGGGCACCACTCGAGCGAGGACTCGGTGCCCTCGGTGGGCCCAAGGTGGCCAGAGCCCACACCTGCAGGACGATGCCAGGCGGCTGTTCCCTACCGCACCTTATCAGTGTCGTAGGCCTTGAGCACTGGGGCGGTCTGTAGCCTGTGGGAGGAGGCAGGCAGGGCGAGGCATTGGCTCAGCGCCCAGTGGGGATCCTAAGCACATACCTGCTACTCACCGGGGCGCTCCAGGTGGGTGGTGGGCCTGGGAGGGCAGACCTTTGCGGCCCGCCCCGCGCTGGACGGTGCTGGGCACTGGGACTTCCGAGTGCGGTGTGCGGCCCTCACTGGAGACGTGTGTTTCCTGGTAGGTTTGCCGTCTCCACATGTCGGAGCTGATGGAGGTCTGGCCCTGCCCACAGGCTTGGGCGCAGGCAGGAACCGCTGGGGAGTTTACAGTTGGAGGCTCCAGGGCGCCCACGGCCCCCGGGACACAGGTGCCTCTTCCCGCAGTCCTTGGTGGGGAACCCTTCTAGGTCCTTCTGTCCCTGGAGGCGGGCGCTCCAAGTTGGGCCCCGAGGTTCCAGCCACGTCTGCTGGATTGAGGGTCTGTGCCGTGAACACCCCCCGGGCGGGCTTCCTGGTCGTCTCCCTGACCATTGCCACATACCCACCCCGGGCTGCCCCTGCCCAGAGGAACTCGAGTCCCTGCAGGGTGCCGGGGAGACCTGCCCAGCCCTGGGGCAGGAGGGACGTGTGTGGCTGGGCACGCGGTGGACCGACCTCAGCCCCCTCTCTGCTGTCCTGCACCCCGCCCCCCTCCACCCCTGCTCCGCTGTCCCCCTGCCAGCACCTGGGAAGTCAGGGTGATCCTGCCAGGCAAGGACCCGTGGCTGTGGGCGGGAAAGCCCGGACACCGCTGCTGGTAGGAGGATGTGTCCTTGAACCGGACACCTGGCAGAGGGGTCGCGGGAGGTGACGCTCAGCGCGTGGTGCCCGGCCTCTCTCGTGTGTCTTCGGCAGGGGTCGCCTCCTGCTTGCAGTCCTTCCAGGGCGTGTACGGATGGCGTGCCGGCCTCAGAATAGCCGTGCTTGAGCCAGATTACCATGTTGGCCTACATCGAGGATTAGGAGAGCAAGTGGCCCCAGGCCAGGACCCAGGGCAGCCCCGGGGGGTCTGCCGGCCCACCGCGGGCCCCCACCTGGAGCCCTGCAGGGGCCAGCCCCAGGAGGGAGCAGCCACGGCTGGCCGCACACCCTCCCAGGTCTCCCTCTGCCCCCACCGTCGGTTCTGGTCCTCCTCACGTGGGACGCCCCGTGGCTGGGTGGTGGCAGGGCGAGGAGCAGCCTTTGCCCCGTGTCCCCGACAGCAGCCTCGGGAGGGATTTAGTGCTCAGGAGGCGGGGGGGCAGGAGGGGGTGAGCTCCGGCTCTTGCAGAGCCACCCCGGGCTGATCGCAGACCTGCACCCTGCCGGGAGGTGGGGCATGAGGACGAGCTGGGGGTGGTCGGGTGGGTGCGAGCTGGCAGGGCTGGGGTCCTCTGGAGGGCCCTCTGCTCCCGGGGGCAGCTGTCCGAGCCCTGTGCTGCGGGCCGGCCACTTGCCGGCTTCCCGGGGCCCGGCGAGCAGAGGGCTGAGCGTGCTGTGGTCCCGTGGTGTCAGCCCCACGTCCCGACCGCCTTGTGAGATCAGCCTCCGGTCCCGCATGGAGCCAGGAGCTGCAGTCCAGGGCTGGACAGCGGGGAGCCACACGGTGCGGCCGGAGCGGATTCTAGTCCAGGGCAGCCGGCTGTGCCCCGGCACGGCCTCGCTGACGTCTGTCTCCCTCGCCCGCAGGGATGTCAGGCCCGAGGCCGGTCGTCCTGAGTGGACCGTCAGGGGCCGGGAAGAGCACCCTGCTGAAGAGACTCCTGCAGGAGCATGGCAGCGTCTTCGGCTTCAGCGTGTCCCGTGAGGCCCAGGCTGCGGTGGGGGTGCGGCGGGGTGGGGCCAGGCCCTGCTGACCCACATACCCACACACACGGGGGAGGGGCCCCACGCCGCTGACCCTGACCTGCAGCCCCCCACGCAGGGGCAGAGCCTGGCCCTGCAGGGGAGGCGTGAGTGGGGAGTGGGGTCAGGTGTCCCAGATCGATCCTAGGCACTTGTTCCTAGACACCACAAGGGACCCGCGGCCTGGAGAAGAGAATGGCAAAGGTGAGCTGGGCCTCGGCGTCTGCAGGGCGGGCAGCGTGCTGGCGCTCGGGTGGACACGGGGTGAGGTCACCGCGGGGCATCTCTCTGGACCCATGCGAGCGTGTGTGGTTGACCCCAGGCTTCCTCTGTAGTGTCCACGGGATCAGCCCCCGTAGCCTCCCCCGGAAGCCCATGGTTTTCTGGCTCTCACGGCAGGGGTGGTGTGAGAAAGTGCCGTCCGTACGTGTGTCCCCCACCTGTCGGTGGGGCCGACAGGTCCACGGGGAAGCGGACCCTGGCCACGCTTGGTCCCCGAGCGCCCTGGGGCTTGGGCCGTGGGCACGCCTCAGATAGGCCTCCTTGCAGATTACTACTTTGTGACGAGGGAGGTGATGCAGCGGGACATCGCCGCGGGCGACTTCATCGAGCACGCCGAGTTCTCAGGGAACCTGTATGGGACTAGGTGGGCCACCCTGGGCACCTCTCCTCCCTCCCAGGGGCTCCCCCTTTGGCTTGACCTAGGCAGGGGGTCTTGTGTGGGTTTTCCAAGGTGCCCACCACACCAGGGGTCAAGACAGGGCAGCAGTTGGGGCCCTCCGGGCTGCCTCCTCCCGGCCACCTTGTGTGCCCCCGGCCAGGCCTCTGTGGGAACCACAGGTCCCCGGGGACGGTGCACCGCAAGGACTTGGGGAATCCGGGTCCCCTAGGTGCACAGGCTGTACTGTGGCCTGCCTTCCTGCAGCCCCTGGGCGGGCGTGGGAGTGCCCCCCGGTCCACAGGGTCTCTGCCCACTCCTCCTACCTGGCTGGCAGGCCCTGCGCAGCGTCGTGGGCAGGCGGGCCCAGGCATGCCTCCGTGTGCAGCCTGTCCCTGAGCCTCCTGGCGAGGGTGAAGCAGCGACCCCGCTGGACTTGTCTTGCTGCAGCCTAGGCCCTAGGTACAGCTGGGCGGGAGGGGGGGCCCCAGAGGGATCACTGGGGCTGTTGGGCAGGCGAGTGCCTGCCAGGGCCCTCGTGCCACGAACCACAGCCACCCTCGGCCCAGCAGAGGGCCCAGCACGCAGATGCTGCAGAAGGGGGGGAGAAGCTGGGGTCTGGGTACGTTCCTGTGGGCACTGTGGCCAGGCTCACGCCCAGTGCAGGCCAGTGGGGGAGGCAGGAGCCCAGGACATGGGCAGCAATGGTCCTGCGGAGGCCCTTTGAGGCCTGGGGGGGGGGGCTGCTGGGCCCAGACAGCCCCGCTGAGCGGTTCCTGCCCCTCTGTGCTCCAGCAAAGCTGCTGTGCGGGCAGTGCAGGCCATGAACCGCATCTGCGTGCTGGACGTGGACCTGCAGGGTGTGCGGAACATCAAGAAGACGGACCTGCAGCCCATCTACATCTTCGTGCAGCCACCCTCGCTGGACGTGCTGGTGGGGGCGCTGGGCCGAAGCTGCAGGGGAGGCTGGGGGCAG